GCGCAGGGCTCCAGGTGACCGCGGGGGCGCGCGCGCAGGGCTCCCAGGTGACCTCGGCCGTGCACGCGCAGGGCTCCAGGTGACCGCGGGGGCGCACACGCAGGGCTCCCGAGTGGCCGTGGGGACACGCGGGGCAGGCGCGCCGCTTCCGCTTCCGCCCAGCAGCCCCCCTGCCGCAGGGCGCGCCCCCTTGGCGGGGCTCGGGAACCAATCCCAGGAAGGGAGGCGCGGCCGTGCCCCCTCCCCACTCGCTCGACCCCACCCACGAGGCACCTTCTGCTGCGGAGGGAAGCAAGCTGCAGAGGGTCACTGGTTCTGACGGACGATGAGGTTTTGGCTGAGAAATGAAGAGATGGCTCTGGAAGAGATGGTGCAGAGGCTAAATGCGGTTTGCAGGCGCACTGGTAGGAGCCGCCGGCCTTGAGTCCTGTGTTCTGAAGCCTGACATCATGTGTTGAATCGTAGGGAATGCGTCTCCTGTCTGCAGGACAGCCTTCATGCTCTTCCCCAGCAGCCAGAGGAAGCAGCTATGAGGGGCATCTGTCTGGCCGCTGATAGGTCTCTGGGGACGGTCAGCCTGCGTTCGTTCTGCCTAGGATAGGTACCGTCCTGCACACTGGGGATCCCGGTGTGTGCCGAGCCCTGGCCGAGCCCCACCTCTGCAGCCTGCATGTCAGTTGCGTTTGGAGAAAGCATCCCTATCTGTGGGTCGAGAATAATCTAGAGCCCCGTGCGGGGGTGGGGCTCTCAGCAGCTCATTTTGAGGAGGAAAAATCTGAATTAATCAGATGCTTCTTTTTTCTACCAAATATAAATAAAACCTAAGACAAACGCTTGAAAGGGGTGTAGGTAAGGGGGGAGGAGCCTAACCAGACCTTCGTTTTGTGTATTAATTAAGGGTTACTTAAAATGAGCTTTGAGGAGCAGTTTGAATGGATTCTTTTAGATCTGAGGGAACGCTGGGCTGGCAATGTCTTGCTCTCAGCTTTCGATCGGCCATCTCTGGGTTTCCATGCTGCACTGGGCAGCAGGAGGGCGTCCGCAGTCCCTAGTTTTCCTTGAAATGAAGAGGAAATAACCGTATATCATTAAAAGTAAGTTGCCAAGTTTTTGCCTGATATTGCCATATATTATGTCGTATATCATTATCTCGTGGTCTAAATAATACTCTTCTGAGAGATTAGATTCTGTCACTTGGCTTGGGCGTGGTATCCTTCCTTCCTCTCTCTCTCTCTCTCTCTCTCTCTCGTAAGTGGGCGACCCCACGGGGTTTTGAGAGCAAAGCCAGGGTTGAATGTCATTGTGTGTGATGGTCTAACCAAGATTTTTGGAGACATTCTGTGTTTAATGGTGATTTTTGTGATTAAAGCTACTGGGTTTATTGTATATGGGTCAAAAGAAAATAAAGCCATCGTGTGCCATCCGGCCTCTTATTCCCAGAGACAGAGCTCCCTTTTCCCGGAACTCGGTTGCGTTTTGCTTGGGTATGGGGTATGGCCTGTGTCGTGGGGTGAAGGGCACAGTGGCTCGCAGACCCACAGAAGCACCCCTACCTGCCCTGCGGGGGGTGGGGGGGGCAGCAGCTCTGCCCGCTCTTCACACCCTCTGTGCTCAGGCTTTGGATTCGGAATGACGGAGCAGGAACAGTTCCAAGAGTGATGTCACTGCCTAGGTTTTAGGGATGGAGGTTTCTTCGCGAGCGAGCTCGGAAAGACACATGTGCATTTTGAATTGTAAAAAGGCTTCTCTGAAGAGCAGGAAGGACAGGCTGCTTGCTGAATCGTGCTGCAAGCTGAGCCTTCATGTTGACCACGGCCTTGTGCTAAGCAGCACGTCCCACGTGTTTGTCCTTTGTCACATCTGGGCCCCCACGGCTGCTGATTTCACCAAGTCTCTCTTAGATCCAGGTCAACAGACGCCACTTTACGAATCCCTGGTATTGTTTAGTGGGGAGTGGATGCACCCCTGCCTGGGTCCCCCTGACGCCGGCAGCTCCTTCCACACAAACTCCTTTTCCATCCGGCTACGTGCCCAGACCCCACAGTGCAGGCTTCGTGACGTGGAGCGGGCGTGTATCCCGTGACATTGACGCAGTGCCATCCGCCGACCGTGGGTCACGCGCACCTTCCCTTGTGGGGATGGGAATCTAGATCGACGCCAGCGAACTCCCCAGCCCGGGGCCGGACCCACGTGCGTCCTGACAGGAGCTCCCCGTCTGTCCAGAACCGCTGTCCGCAGAGGTCACAACGGTGGTGCACCTCCAGGGTCAGGAGGTGGCAGGACGCAGGTCTGTGTGCTGGTCTACATGATGGCATGGGGCTGGGGCGGCCCTGACGACCAGGGCAGAGCTGAGGGCTGGCGCTCAGTGACCTGTCCAAGGCTTCCTGCCTGTTTCCCTCCGGGGCTCCACCCCAGCTGACAGACATTTCTCTTTGTCTGCTCGTCTGGACATGCTGCTGCCTTGTCCTACCTTCAGACTGATAGGCTGCTTCCCGGGGTCCGGGTTGGTCTGCATGTAAGGGAGGGTGGGGCCGCCATGTGCTCCCGGGATCTGTATTGGCTGACCTTGAGAATTTAGGGTACGTGCTCTTGAACCTAATCTTTAATCACAAGGCCAGGAGCAGTTTGCAAAAGCTCCTCTGCTGTGTGAGGGCTCCCTTTCCAGCATTTTCATTATTTTGGTTTTCTCTTTAGATTCACAGTAATTGGTGAAAAAGTGAGAAACACTTGAGGGAGAGACACTGATGGATCTATAGTCGGTTTAAACATGTGCTGGGGGGCGCCTGGGTGGCTCAGTCGGTTGAGCATCTGCCTTCGGCTCAGGTTATGATCTCGGGGTCCTGGGATCGAGTCCTGCATCAGCTCCCTGCTCAGTGGGGAGTCAGCTTCTCCCTCCCCCTCTGCCCCTCCCCCTGCTCGTGCGCTCTCTCACTATCTCTCTCTCTGTCAAATAAATGGAATCTTTTTAAAAAAATTAAATAAATAGGGCGCCTGGGTGGCTCAGTTGGTTAAGCGACTGCCTTCGGCTCAGGTCATGATCCCAGGGTCCTGGGATCGAGTCCCGCATCGGGCTCCCGGCTCCGCCGGGAGCCTGCTTCTCCCTCTGACCCTCTCCTCTCTCATGCTGTTTCTCTCTCGCTCGCTCTCCAATAAATAAATAAAATCTTTAAAAAAAAAATTAAATAAATAAACAGGTGCCTGATGCAGAACAGTGGTCCTCCAGCCAGGGCCTCTGAACCTCCTGGGGGGAGCCGTCACAGATTCCCATCCCCCCTCCCCCGAGCTTCTGATTCAGGAAGTGTGTGGCGGAGCCTGAGAATCTGCACTTTGCAGGTCTCAGGTGATGCTGGTGGTGCTGGTCCAGGGACCAAACTTGGGAAACAGCTGCAGTAGAATCTTGAAATCTGGTGCCACCTTCTGCACTCACTGACCTTGAGCAAGAAACTAGCTTTTGTCGTGGGCGAGTGATGACAGGTTGGAGAGCTGGATGGATGAGGATGGATGGGCAGGTGGGTGGGGGGCCACACCGACGGATACATGGATGAGGTTGCACCCAAGACAGTAAACCTCTAAGTTCTGTCCTCTTTGAAAGCTTGCACGGCCCCCAGCTCCTGGTGTGCATCGGAGCACAGGATGCGCCCACCACACAGGACGCCCCAGACCCGCAGTCGTTAGCTCTGACTCTTCCCCCCACCCGCTTGTCCTTTCCCCTCTCCACTGAGCTTTCCACCGTCCAAGAACCTAAATTTCTCTTGATAGCTCAGCTGTGAACTCAGCCATTCTGGGCGTGCAGTGAGGCTACCCTTCCAGCACGGTTTATTAACGAGGGCTCCTCCCTCTGAGACCCCAGGCCCCACAGCCGCGTTCGCTGTGACATGGAGGGGGGATGCTGTTGGCCGGCTCTGTGGCTGGGACCTCTGGAGAGGTCTGAAGTAGAAGAATAAACGTAGTTCTGTGAGACACCTGATCTGGGAAGTCTCTTTGTGGCAAAAATAGAAGCTTTTGGATAGAAAGGGAGAGGACATAGAAGAACAAGGCCAAATAGGCAGAGTGCTCTGTGTGGGAGAAGAGGCTCCACATCCTCGTCTTTATTGTGTGGAGATGCTGCTGGCCCTAAGTCTCCTCTTCTAAGGGCTATTCAGCGTTCGGTGTGCTGGGCTTTCCCTAGAGACACTGCTCGGTTCTGGGGCCAGTAATTGGTACGTCTTAGTGGAGACTCTCGGTCCCGTTCACCGCAGCCAGCCTGCCGTCCCTCTGGTCCTGAGGTGGAGCGTGCCTGGCTGCCGTCCCCTCTTCCCCTCCTACCTACAGGGCTCTTCGACTGCTTCCTGTCCTTCCTCGAGGCTCCCTCTGCTACGTTCAGGTTCTCAGTGATACTCACGCTCTTCTGCCAGCCCCACGGCTGATGTCCACGCCCTGCAGCATCACTGGGGCTGACCCCTCCACACTGGCTCTGCACCAGGCTGAGGCCCACAGTCCTGCAGGGAGGCCAGCCACCCCTCATAAGTCTTGTGAGGAGGACCCCACCCCCCTGGTCAGTCCTGGGAGGGGGACCCCACCCCCCCTGGTCAGTCCTGGGAGGGGGACCCCACCCCCCCGG